TCCGGACGCGCAGGCTCAGCGGCCATGGCTCACGGGCCCAGCCGCTCTGCAGCATGTGGGATCTTACCGGACCGGGGCACGAACCTGTGTCCCGTGCATTGGCAGGTGGATTCTTAACCACTGTGCCACCAGGGAAGTCCCTATTGGCCATTTTTATTTCTTCATTTGTGAATTATCTCAGTACTTTGCTCATTTATCTATTATCCACAATACGACTAGTTATTTTATTACAAAAGTAACTAAAAAGTAATGAAGACATTGTAAAATAGATTAGAACATTTGAATATTTATAGTGTTTTATAACATGCTGTTTAAATAACTCAATCCAATACATTGAGAATATCTTTCTATGTCAACCAGTGTATATCTAAGCCATCATTTTTTTTTTACTTTTTTTTTTTTTTGCGGTTCGCGGGCCTCTCACTTTTGTGGCCTCTCCCGTTGCGGAGCACAGGCTCCGGACGCGCAGGCTCAGCGGCCATGGCTCACGGGCCCAGCCGCTCCGCGGCATGTGGGATCTTCCTGGACCGGGGCAGGAACCCATGTCCCCTGCATCGGCAGGCGGACTCTCAACCACTGCGCCACCAGGGAAGCCCCATGAACAGTTTTTTAGTGCTTGGAAGAATGTTTAAGTTATGTTAAGTAAAAATTCAGGTTGTGAAACTACATATTTAACTATGATTTCAATTATTAAAAACATAGACATTGGAAAGAAATACATCAAAATATTAATAGTAATCACTAGGTAGTGGCAATCTATTATATATATATATATATATATATGAGTTTAAGAAAGAAAGAACAGAAAAAAAAAAAGGAAACCAGTAGAAATATTCAATGGATACTTCAAAATTATTTTCCAGAACTGAAGGAAATGAGTTGCCAGAGTGAAAGGATTCACCAAATGTCAGCTCAGTGGGTGAAAATAGATGCGCACCAAGTCAGATTATTGCAGAGTTTCAGCACGTTGAAGGGAGAGAAAAGATTATTTAAGGTTCCAGAGAGAGAGAGAGAGAAAAAAAAAAAAGAGGCCACAAACAAATGACTGGGAGTCAGAATGGCTATGGACTTCTCAGCAGGAGCAGAACCTAGAAAACACTGTCTTCAAAGTTCTGGGGCAGCAATGCCCCTGTCCTAATGGTGGCACAAAAGCAGGAGAGTTCCCACTCTTCAGGGGCTATATGCGGTTGCACAATAGGTATATCAGAAGTAACTCATATAAATCAAAGTCTGGAGGGCTCTTCCCACGTGTTTTTCTCTGTGTGAAACCCCTGGACCTTTGCACATCCCAGAGTGTGAGTTGTGGGGGGGGATCTGCAATAGTAATCAAGGTTGAAGTTTCCAGGTGGAAGAGGAACTCAGGGTCACCTTTAATATCATTTAAATAAAATAAAGTAATGTGATATTTCTTAAACCACCCAAGATCGTGGTTGCAAAATCGTATCTGCTGTAATAGTTTTTAGGGTAAAATTTAAGGACATAAAAATTATAGTAATAATCATAGGTATAAACTAATTACTATGGAAAATCAAATGTTGGTGAGTTGGTGGTTTACAGAAAACACTAAGTTCTCCAGATTACTAATAACTTCCAACAGGTTTCACATAGAAGGTCCAAGATAGTAGCAAACGCCTGCCATCCTTAAATTATTCTTCGAAAAGACCTAGCTTCCTGCTTGGAAGGAAATACAGTGAGAACAAAACACAGATTTATATTTCAATAATTCTGCACTAGGTTAGTAGGATGCCTATTTAAAATGCTTTTCTTTATTGTGAAGGTAAAAATAAAGCTCTGAAATGAACAGAAGCACTTTTTTTTTTCAAGTTTTAAAGACTATTTTTTTAAGACCAGTTTTATGTTCACAGGAAAAGCGAGAGAAAGTTTCCGAGATAGCCCATACACTCCCCGGCCCTGCACTCGCATGGCCTGCCCTACTATCAACATCCTCCACAAGAGAGGTACATTTCCTACAATTGATGAACCCACACTGAAACATCACTACTACCCAAAGTGCATAGTTTACATTAGAGTTCACTCTTGATATTGTATATTCTACGGGTTTGGACAAATATATAATGACATGTATCCATCATTATAGTATAATACATAGTATTTTCACTGCTCTAAAAATCCTCTGTGCTCTGCCTATTCATCCCTACTTCCCCTCTAACTCCTGGCAACCACTGCTCTTTTTACTGTCTCCATAGTTTTGCCTTTTCCAGAATGTCATATAGTTGGAATTATTCAGTATGAAGCTTTTTCAGATTGGCTTCTTTCTTTTAGTAATACACATTTAAGTTTCCTCCATGTGTTTTCATGGCTTGATAGCTCATTGCTTTTCATGGCTGAACAATATTCAATTCTTTGGATATATCACTTACTAAAAGGATATCTTGGCAGCTTTTAAGTTTTGGCAATTATGAATAAAGCTGCTATAAATATTCACAGGCAGGTTTTTGTGTGGACATAAGTTTTCAGTCTCTTTGGGTATATACAGTGGTCCGTCGGTACCCACAGGCATTGGTTCCAGGACTCTCGTGGATACCAAAATCTGCGGATGCTCAAGTCCCTTATATAACTTGGTATAGTGTAGGTGGTCCTCCATATTAGCAGGTTCCACATCCTTGGATTCAACCAACCACAGATCAAAAATCGATCTACAGGGCTTCCCTGGTGGCACAGTGGATAAGAATCCGCCTGCCAATGACGGGGACACGGGTTCAAGCCCTGGTCTGGGAAGATCCCACGTGCTGCCGAGCAACTAAGCCGTGCGCCACAACTACTGAGACTGCACTCTAGAGCCCGTGAGCCACAACTACTGAAGCCCGGGCGCCTAGAGCCCGTGCTCCACAACAAGAGAGGCCAACGCAATGAGAGGCCCGCGCACCACAACGAAGAGTAGCCCCCGCTTGCCGCCACTAGAGAAAAACCTGCGTGCAGAAACAAAGACCCAACGCAGCCAAACATTTTTTTTAAAAATTTTTTAAAAAAAGATTAAAAATAAAAATCGATCTACAGGGAATTCCCTGGCAGTCCAGTGGTTAAGACTCCCACTTTCACTGCCACGGGCACAGGTTCGATCCCTGGTTGGGGAACTAGGATTCCACAAGCTGCATGGTGTGGCCAAAAAAACAAAAAATGAAACAGAAACAAACAAAAATCGATCTACATCTGTGATCCACTATGAGTTAATTTTTGTGAAGGGTGTAAGGTCTGTGTCTAGAGTCATATTTTTTGCCAGAAACACTTTCTGTGTTTAAAAATTAATCACTGTAGAGAGAAGATGCAGAAGTACTTCTGTTTCAAATACCAAAAATGACACTGAAGAATTTTTTTACTGAGATATAATTCACTTACCATAACATTTGCCATTTAAAGGGTACAATTTAGTGGTTTCTAGTATATTAACAAGGTTGTGCAACCATCACCACTAATTTCAGAATATTTTAATCACCCCTAAAAGAAACACAATCAGCAATCACCACCACCCCAATGCCACCCTCCCCCAGACCCT